CTCCACCAGAAAACTCCTTTTACTCGCTGTCATTGTTGCATTTCTACAGTTCTAATGTGTGAACTGGGATTGGTTTAGTCGTCGATAATCAGGCAATGATCGGAAATTTCCAGCAGATGCAGTCCAGCAGGACATCTACAGCTTTGTTGTTTTAAAATATAAATTCTGCTAAATCACAAATATTAAAGTTTTATTTGTAGAGCTGTGATCGTATCCCAAAGTTCAGCAGTTTGAGTCGGAGGAAATAATTGTTGAAAAGGACTCATTTTGACACCAACAGAAGAAAGAAAATAAGACAAAAAAGCAGAATGTCAGCATCATCGTCCACTTTAAAATCAAATATCCGCCCAGAGTGACGCCTGTCAGGCTGCAAAGTTACTGTTTTGTTTGGAAATGTTAATTACAATAAATCTACAACGCTTCACATGGAAGTTAAAAGTCTTTTTCTTATTTAGTTTTATATTTTATATCTGCACCTGATCGTCAAAAATCCAATATCGTGCATCTTTACATTTTTTGCTCTTTACACATAATTAAGATTTTTGTCAACACAACATGTTCAGAAATGTGTCTTTCCAACTGTTTTGCTTGTAAAAGCTGCAGCTTCTATTCTTTAGCTCGACTCTGAGGTCTATTTTCCACCACGGGCAGCATTTCTCACATAATTAGTTGTTGTTTTTTTTTTAATTGATTACCAATTAGTCACTTCCTGAATGTGCTGCTTTGCTGTGATCCATCTTATCAGATACCAAAAACAGAAAATCAGCGATGAAGGAAACACGTGAAAAAGTTCTGCTTTAGTTAAACATAAACAACTAAAGCAGTCTGACGCAGTTTGCTGTTGGAGTTTCACATCAACATTTTCATTTTTACTACAAATGTACGACTGTTATGGATCTCGGTGAATCAACCTGCGTATTAACTGTGGAGGAGACGATCAGTTGACCCCCAACAGCAGCTTCGTCTCAGTAAAACCAATCGAATGTGCTTTTACGGATCGAGTCCTCCAGGAGCAACAACGACGACGACACATGTGCTGCTAATATCCGTCTGGAAGAAGTTTCATCAGCGTCACACGACTCCTACAGCTGCTGCTGCTTTCTCACTTCACAGTTGGAGTTTTTAAATGTGCTGAGAAAGTCGTTTCTAACTCGGGCTGCCTTCTAACAGTCACCTGAACGATCGATAAGATTGGTCAGATTAAAACCTGAAAGTCCACGAAGACACCCAGGCGGCTTTGGACACACGTGGTCCTGAGCAGAGCTGCTTCCTGATGGCAGCACTTTGAGTTTCTGTGGTGACTCCTAGAGGACGAGGTCGTCGTCCATCGACCTGAGGACACTGTGATGAGACTTCTTAACATAATGAACCTCGTCGCTGGTTTTTCAGACACATTCAGAATCATGACTGCTTCTGCAGGTGCTTCACATGTTTGTATTTAAGAACTCAGTCGCTGTAGTTTTGCTATTTTCTGTATTTACTGGAACATTTCGCTCATCGCTGAAACTCAAAACATTTTTTAATGCTGCAAAAATACATTTTAAATAATTAAATCAGCATCACAAACGAAAGACGACTCG